GAAGGGGAGGGGGGCAGGAAGGGGAGGGGGGGCAGGAGGACGTAGCTACTGTAAAATACAAAAAAGTTGTATAAGAGTTAAATATGGAAGATACTTAGTAGTTATATTTAGAATAGGAGACCACCTGAAGATTAGACACCCACTGAAGTTATACCACCTGAAGATTAGACTCAGAGCTTATTTCACCTGCAGATTAACCTTCCAAGTGTTCTACCTGAAGATTAGACACCGAGAGCTTATTTCACCTGGAAATTAATTAAACCACCCTAACGCTACCCCTAAACTAACCCAACCTAAGTTGACCCCCTCTTAGGTAGTGGTGTTAGGGTGTTTAATAAGCTGAGGGGGTCTAATCTTCAGGTGAAATAAGCTGAGGGTGTCTAATCTTCAGGTGAAATAAGCTGAGGGGTCTAATCTTCAGGTGAAATAAGCTGAGGGGGTCTAATCTTCAGGTGAAATAAGCTGAGGGGGTCTAATCTTCAGGTGAAATAAGCTGAGGGTGTCTAATCTTCAGGTGAAATAAGCTGAGGGGGTCTAATCTTCAGGTGAAATAAGCTGAGGGTGTCTAATCTTCAGGTGAAATAGCCCCGGGAGGAGTCATAACCTTCAGGTGATCCCACAAAGGACATTAACAAGAGGTGGTTCAAGTTACTGAATATAAGTAGAGGTTAGAAATGATCCTGTTTATGAGAGACAGTGAGAGAAGTGTATTGTTTAGGTTTATTCCTGATGACATTGAAGATAACGAAGGTTAACCCCCGGTGTGTTATCTGAAGACTCGAGATCAACAAGACGGTGTTCAGTCCAACACCATTTCCCTGCACCAACCGAACCTAACCCAGTCTAACCTCACCTCACCTAACCCAGTCTAACCTCACCTCACCTAACCCAGTCTAACCTCACCTCACCTAACCCAGTCTAACCTCACCTTACCTCACCTCACCTAACCCAGTCTAACCTCACCTTACCTCACCACCTCACCTCACCTAACCCAGTCTAACCTCACCTCACCTAACCCAGTCTAACCTCACCTCACCCAACCCAGTCTAACCTCACCTCACCTAACCCAGTCTAACCTACCTTACCTCACCACCCAACCCAGTTCATCCCCACCTTCCTCACCTCACCTCACCTCACCTAACCCAGTCTAACCTCACCACCCAACCCAGTCTAACCTCACCACCTCACCTCACCCAACCCAGTCTAACCTCACCTACCTCACCACCCAACCCAGTCTAACCACACCTTACCTCACCTCACCCTAATCTACCCCACCCCACCCAACCCAGTCTAACCCCACCCACCTTACCCACCTCACCTCACCTAACCCAGTCCTCACCTCACCTCACCTAACCAACCCAGTCTAACCACCCACCTCACCTCACCTAACCCAGTCTAACCTCACTTACCTCACCACCCAACCCAGTCTAACCACACCACCTACTCACCCCACCTCACCTAACCCAGTCAACCACACCTTACCTCACACCTCACCCAACCCAGTCTAACCTCACCCCACCCAACCGTCTAACCACACCTACCTCACCCCAACCCAGTCTAACTTACTCACCACCCAACTCTAACCCAGTCTAACCTCACCTAACCTTACCCAGTCTAACCTAACCTCACCTTACCTCACCTCACCTAACCTAACCCAGTCTAACCTCACCACCTCACCTCACCTAACTCAACCCAGTCTAACCTCACCTCACCTCACCCAGTCTAACCTCACCTCACCTCACCAAACCCATATCATTTCCCAGCACTAATATAACCAAAAGACTATAACCACCACCCTGCCCACCAATATGCAAAGTTTAAAACAACACTAAATGAACCGGTCACCCCTTGAACACCTATTTAGTAGACCTTAAAACACATTATAAGCAATACAACAAAACACTATTAATCTACATTGGATATTTATTTTATGTGTCGATTCTATAAATAATTTTGAGTGTCGGGACGGAAGTAGGATCTGACGGACGGACGGACGGACGGAAGGAGGGAGAAACGGACAGACAGACGGAGGGACGGAAGGAGGGTAGACGGATGATTAGACGAACCGATGGACAAGGGCAAACTACAATACTCCTTCGATTAGCAGTAGGGCTTAAAATGTATGCAGTCATTTTTTATCCAACACACACAAACACACAAACACACACAAAACAGACTGACAGACACACGCACACACAAAACAGACACATACACCCACACACAAAACAGACACACACAGATACACACACACACACACAAAACAGACACACACAGATACACCCACACACAGATACACCCACACACAAAACAGACACACACAGATACACCCACACACAAACAGACACAGATACACCCACACAAACACACACACACACACACACACACACACACACACACACACACACACACACACACACACACACACACACACACACACACACCTATTGTTAAAATAATAAACAACTCCTAATTTATGTACTGTACAGCCCTGTAAATGTATTCAATGCATATTATATCATTATATCTAAATCAAATGTAAGTCTGTATATTTTCAGCCACCGGCTGCAACTCTATTAATAAACCGTTTATTATTATTATTATTATTTTATTATTATTATTACACACACAAAACAGACACACACAGATACACACAAAACACACAGATACACCCACACACAAAACAGACACACACAGATACACACACACACAAAACAGACACACACAAATACACCCACACACAAAACAGACACAGATACACCCACACACAAAACAGACACACACAGATACACACACACACACAAAACAGACACACACAAATACACCCACACACAAAACAGACACACACAGATACACCCACACACAAAACAGACACAGATACACCCACACACAAACACACACACACACACACACACACACACACACACACACACACACACACACACACACACACACACACACACACACACACACACACACTCTATTGTTAAAATAATAAACAACTCCTAATTTATGTACTGTACAGCCCTGTAAATGTATTCAATGCATATTATATCATTATATCTAAATCAAATGTAAGTCTGTATATTTCAGCCACCGGCTGCAACTCTATTAATAAACCGTTTATTATTATTATTATTATTTTATATATTATTACACACACAAAACAGACACACACAGATACACCCACACACAAAACAGACACAGATACACCCACACACACAAACAGACACACACAAATACACCCACACAAAACAGACACACACAAATACACCCACACACAAAACAGACACACAGATACACCCACACACAAACAGACACAGATACACCCACACACAAAACAGACACACACAGATACACCCACACACAAACAGACACAGATACACCCACACAAACAGACACAGATACACCCACACACAAAACAGACACACACAGATACACCCACACACAAACAGACACACACAGATACACCCACACACAAAACAGACACAGATACACCCACACACAAAACAGCACACACACAGATACACACACACACACAGACACACACAAATACACCCACACACAAAACAGACACAGATACACCCACACAAAACAGACACACACAGATACACACACACACAAAACAGACACACACAAATACACCCACACACAAAACAGACACACACAGATACACCCACACACAAAACAGACACACAGATACACCCACACACAAACAGACACACACAAATACACCCACACACAAAACAGACACACACAAATACACACCCACACACAAACAGACACACACAGATACACCCACACACAAAACAGACACATACACCCACACACAAACAGACACACACAGATACACACACACACAAAACAGACACACACAAATACACCCACACACAAAACAGACACAGATAACCCACACACAAAACACACACACAGATACACCCACACACAAAACGAGAGACGAGTCAAAGGGAGATAGACGCTATAGAGGCGTTATAAGGGCACGATCAGCTGATACCCTCGTGTTTACCTGTCGTGTCACACACCTGTTGTATGGTCTGTACACATACCTGGTCGTCTCCCACTCATGTAGCCCTCTCGTCACGTTCAATTTAGCCAGTGCGCATGCGTGGGAAGCCTACATGGACAACCCCCTTCCTTACTCCCCACACACACACACACGAGGGCTGCAGGGAGGTGGAGGAGGAGCACGTATCAGCTCTCACAACAACAGGGGCCAACTACATGCGTGCATACCTCCACATGAGGCGCTACACAACACAACAACCTACAACGTACACAGAATACACTATACTACACTGCACTACACTTCACGACGACACTAGAAGCTACACAACACAAGCCTATGCAACCCATTGTACCAGGCGCTTCGCTACACTACAACCGGTACTACGCTACAGTACACTACTATACTACACAACGTACACTTATGGACACACACACATATCTATAAAATCAGGGTAAAATTAACACATTCATACACCTGTTAAACCCAGGTAAACTCACACACTTGGGAAGAAGTTCACCTCCTCAACCCTTCACCCTGAGGACCCAAAAATAGCAACAACAACACGGCCATCATGGTCATACTGGTGGTGGGGGTTGGGGGTGGTGGGGAGTGTTGGGGTGAGGGAGGGGGAGTTTGGGGGTGAGGGAGAAGGAGCACTACAGCGTGACCAGCTACAAATTGCTCCTCGAGTCCCACACAAAAAGTGAAGATGTATCCAGCACCGCCACAAATACCAGGGTGGCCGCCGCGCCTCCCCACCGCCACCGACTGGTTACTAGGTATTACTCGCCTTCTGCTCTTCTATGTAGAGGTGAACACATCTTACTGCTTACTATTTTCCCAATGGTGTTTTGTCTTAGAATAGGATAAATGTAACACACACACACACACACACACACACACACACACACACACACACATCTAAAAATGCAAACAAACTTATTAAATTTCATTGCCATATCAAGTGTTTTCTAGATCACACTAAGATACCATGGTCCATGACGGGCCAGGCGGCCCCTGGTCCATGACGGCCAGGCGGCCCCTGGTCCATGACGGCCAGGCGGCCCTGGTCCATGACGTGGCCAGGCGGCCCCAGACGGGTTGTATGGCCCTGATCCATGACGGGTTGTATGGCCCTGGTCCATGACGGGCCAGGCGGCCCGATCCATGACGGGTCAGGCGGCCCTGATCCATGACGGGTTGTATGGCCCCTGGTCCATGACGGGCAGGTGGCCCTGGTCCACATGGCCAGGCCCAGTCCATGACGGGCTATGGCCCTGGTCCATGACGGGTTGTATGGCCCTGATCCATGACGGGTTGATGGCCCTGGTCCATGACGGGTTGTGTGGCCCTGGTCCATGACGGTTGTATGGCCCTGGTCCATGACGGGTTGTATGGCCCTGGTCCATGACGGGTTGTATAGGCCTGGTCCATGACGGTTGTATGGCCCTGGTCCATGACGGGTTGTATGGCCCTGGTCCATGACGGGTTGTAGGCCCTGATCCATGACGGCCAGGGTGGCCCTGGTCCATGACGGTTGTATGGCCTGGTTCCATGACGGGTTGTGGCAGGCCTGGTCCATGACGGTTGTGGCCCTGATCCATGACGGGTTGTATGGGCCCTGGTCCATGACGGGCTGTATGGCCCGGTCCATGACGGGTTGTGGCCCTGGTCCATGACGGGTTGTATAGGCCTGGTCCATGACGGGTTGTATGGCCCTGTCCGCGACGGGCCAGGCGGCCCTGGTCCATGACGGGTTGTATAGGCCTGGTCCATGACGGGTTGTAGAGGCCTGGTCCATGACGGGTTGTGTGGCCTGATCCATGACGGGCCAGGCGGCCCTGGTCCATGACGGGTTGTTGGCCCTGGTCCATGACGGGTTGTGTGGCCCTGATCCATGACGGGCCAGGCGGCCCTGGTTCCCATTGACGGGTGGCCCTGGTCCATGACGGGTTGTATGGCCCTGATCCATGACGTGTCAGGCGGCCTGGTCCATGACGGGTTGTATGGCCCTGGTCCATGACGGGTTGTATGGCCCTGATCCATGACGGGTTGTATGGCTGATCCATGACGGTTGTATGGCCTGGTCCATGACGGGTTGTGTGGCCATACAGAAACAGATAGACGACAGGTAGCAACACGGCTTTGTGTGTGTGTGTTTTGTGTGTGTGTGTGTGTAAGCCACAGGTTACGACACACACAATAGGAGAGTTGACACCACTCACCACATACTGAGCTGCTCTCACCAGACACCCTTGTCAGCAGCTGTCACTAGCAGCAGCCTCACCACTCCATCACAACCTCCACCAGCAGACACTCCATCACAACCTCCACCAGCTGACACTCCATCACAACCTCCACCAGCTGACCTCCATCAACCTCACCAGCAGACACTCCATCACAACCTCCACCAGCAGACTCCTCACAACCTCCACCAGCTGACCTCCATCACAACCTCCACCATCGACACTCCATCACAACCTCCACCAGCTGACACTCCATCACAACCTCCACCAGCTGACACTCCATCACAACCTCCACCATCTGACACTCCATCACAACCTCCACCAGCAGACCTCCATCACAACCTCCACCAGCTGACACTCCCATCACAACCTCCACCATCTGACACTCATCACAACCTCCACCAGCAGACACTCCATCCCACCTCTGTGCTCCATCACAACCTCCACCATCTGACACTCCATCACAACCTCCACCAGCTGACCTCCATCACAACCTCCACCACTGACTCCATCACAACCTCCACCAGCTGACACTCCATCACAACTCCCCAGGGCCTCCATCACAACCTCACCAGCGACTCCATCACCTCCACCAGCTGACCTCCATCACAACCTCCACCAGCAGACACTCCATCACAACCTCCACCAGCTGACACTCCATCACAACCTCCACCAGCAGACACTCCATCACAACCTCCACCAGCTGACACTCCATCACAACCTCCACCAGCTGACCTCCATCACAACCTCCACCAGCAGACACTCCATCACAACCTCCACCAGCAGACACTCCATCACAACCTCCACCAGCAGACACTCCATCACAACCTCCACCAGCAGACACTCCATCACAACCTAGTACATCAACCTAGTAAGGACCCCAACACCCACAAAACATATATTTTGCCTCTCTCTCTCTCTCTCTCTCTCTCCCCCTCTCCTCTCTCTCTCTCTCTGGTGTGTGCGTGTATGTGAACTTGACAGGTGGGTACAGTGACAGGTGTCTTCTCCATAATAAACCAGCACTACCACCGTCATATTTCCGTCTGGGTTATCTCACCTGGATAGCCTAATGGGGTGTGGAGGGGACACACACACACACACACACACACACACACACACACACACACACACACACACACACACACACACACACACACACACACACACACACACGACGAAGGGGGCAGACTGACATAACATACACCTCATAACATTACTATGTATAGGAGGAGACAGCCGCTAACAAGGGATCACAATATATCTCAATTTATTTCACCTGATGACTGAACACCTCAACCTAACTTAGCAATCTAAACCGGAGCGGACGGCGAATCAGGGCATTGCAGTGAGGGGAGGGGTGGGGCGAGGAAGAGGGGCGGGGCGAGGGGGCGGGGATGAGGACGGGTAAGGGGGCGGGGAGAGGGCGGATGAGGGCGGGGCGATGAGGGGGCAGGCGATGAGGGACGGGGCGATGCAAGTGGACGGGGCGATGCAAGGCAGGGCGGGGCGATGGGTGGCGGGCGCGGGGCGATGCGTGGCGGGGCGGGGTGAGATGTTCGGTGGCGCGACTGAAGGATCCCATGATACCTTGACATAAATAACAAACTATTAGTGCAGCATAAACTCAGTCATGCACGAACCTTGTAGCCTTGGGAGGGAAGGAGGAGGTAAGGAAGGTTGGGAGAGAGAGAGAGCAAGGTGGGGAGGGTGAAGGAGAAAGGTAGGGAGGGTGGGTAGAAGGAGGGAAGGAAGGAGGCAGAGGGAGAGGGAAGGATAGGGAAGACGGAAGGAAGGTGGGAGAGGTGAAAAAGAAAGGAGAGGAAGAGAGTGAATGCTAACTGTGGTGGGATGGATGGAGAGGAAAAGGATGGAGAGGGAGGAGGACGAGGAGGGAGGAAGGGAGAGAAGCGGGAGGAAGGGAAGAAGGTGGAGGGAGCAGGAGGGAGGGGGAGGCAGAAGGTGGAGGGCAGAAGAGGGAGGGAGGAGCCAGGCTTGCCTGAGAGGCCTTGTGGAAGGTGGTAACAACACACACACACACACACACACACACACACACACACACACACACACACACACACACTGTACATTTATGAGGAGCGAGTGAGTGAGTGAGTGAAGAACACAAACACAGATGAGAAAAGTTCCAATAAACACTCTAAGGATGTAAACAAGTAATTCACGGTGGCTAAAAAAACAAAACAAAAACAAAAGAACAACGACAGAAATCTACTCGGACGATTTACAATGACCTATGAGCGGGAACTACTGTAGGCACGGACGGCAAGGGGGTGGGGGAGGATCATAAACACTGTGGAGGCCTAAGGGTAGATGCCTTAGTGACGGACTGTACTCGTGTATGAAGGGAATTAATATGAATAAGTCAAACTGGGCTGGGCAGGGTGGGGGAGGAAGTGGGGGTGAGAGGCGTGGGGAGGTGGGTGAGGGGGGAGTAGGGAGGTTGTGGGGGGTGTGTAACGAACGATGACGTGTGTGTTCGATATAGCAAACACCAAATCACCGAAGCGTGACACACCTGTGGAGGGGAAAGGGAGGGAGGGAGGGAGGGAGGGAGGGAGGGAGGGAGGGAGGAGGGAGGGAGGGAGGGAGGGAGGGAAAGGAGGAAGGGGGATTTCCCTAAACAAGACAAAAACAATACCTTGGCCATCCTACGAAGAAAATAAATTGTTGTCCAGGATATCTGATAACATCCTACCTTGCATCATGATCTAATACTTGAACATATCTATACCAAGTTACATCCCGCCGTTGGTCGTGTACAGTTCCTCGTAAAACAGGAACAAATAAATACCATTGGTCGTCGTGAGTAAAAGGTTTTCAGCACCACACAAGGAGACACACAACACGTACGTGAATAAATTATCAGAACATTGCAAGTCCAGCCACCACCCGCGGGAGAGCCACTAAGCAACACCAGTGACCAACCACATCCATCGTGTACCATCTGTTAGCTGGGCCACACACACACACACACACACACACACACACACACACACACACACACACCAGGTCTCTCCCTCAGGGCAAATCATTCACTATTTACTTCACGTTTCGCCCCAAACCTGAGCTAGTAAGAGTCAAATCCAGCCGAAGAGAAGCACAACATTGGACACAAGAGCCATCGCTTAACACATGCATCAGGAAGCCGGGTATTATTCACCTGTTGTTGTTCTGAGAGGGGGTGAGGGGACACGAAGTACATAACACGTCAAGGTATTATGTGTCAGAGTGAGAGAAGAGAAGGCAACGTAAGTCTCTGTCTCTCTCTCTCTCAAACACACACAGTTTCCCGGGCCGGCGGAAGTTGTTTGGACACACTTCCTAGTCCCCTTCGTCCCTGTTCACCTAGCAGCACAGTAGGTACCTGCTGTAAGTCGAAAGTCGCGAATTCGTATTCAGGGACAAGTTGTTGGAGCTTCCAATAACTTGCTTGGACATAAACCACTGACTCTTCAGGCCTACGCCCTCGACTCTTCAGGCTTCTACGCCCTTAACCCATGATACATAAGGCAAGCATGAACTTAGCATGCTTCCCTGTTGGGCGCTGTAAACCTTCTGCGCTTTACCTTACACTAGGATGTAGGGAGTGCCCAATAAAAAAAAAATCACACACACACGAGCAGAGTCGGTGGTTGAATGGATATAAAAAGTTCTATTAACTAATAATAATAATAACACTAATAATAATAAAAAAATATTAATAAAAAAATAATAATAATAATATTAATAATAATAACAATAATAGACAACAACAATAATAATAATAATAATAATAATAATAATAATAATAATAATAATATAACATTAATAACAACAACAACAACAACAATAATAATAATAATAATAATAATAATAATAAGAATATAATAATAATAAATAATAATAACACTAATAACAACAACAACAATAATAGCAATAATAATAATAATAATATAATAACACTAATAACAACAACAACAATAATAACAACAATAATAATAATAATAATAATAATAATAATAATAATAATAATAATAACACTAATAACAACAACAATATAATAATAATAATAATAATAATAATAATAATACTAAGCGTCACGAGCCACATACCATCACCTGGACCCCTGTGTGTTGGATCAGCTGGGTGACTGAGACAAGGTGTGGTGAGGCGCTCAAGATCTGGTTCACACAACACCTCCTCCTCATCTCTCATCATCCTCATCATCTCTCCTCATCCTCATCATTATCATTTTTCTTCTTCCTTCTCCTCCTCCTCCCCCCCCTCCCCCATCGTATCCAGCCTTTAACCCTCACTTGTCCATATACTGTGTAAAATATTGACCATCTGTGAAATATTGACCAACATCTGTGAAATATTGACCAACATCTGTGAAATATTGACCAACATCTGTGAAATATTGACCAACATCTGTGAAATATTGACCAACATCTGTGAAATATTGACCAACATCTGTGAAATATTGACCAGTCTATCTCTACCTGGGTTAAGTTGATCTAGATTACCATTAGGGTGGTTAATCTTAGTTAATCTTAAGCTGAAATAAACTGGGGTGTCTAATCTTCAGGTGATCTTTACTAGCCTTTTGTCTGGTTTAAAAAAAAAATATTTATATACCAAACATAACTGTTCCACGGGGTCATAACACAAATAATAAGTCATAACAATAACCAGAAATAGGATTAATGGCACAACAAACACTAAT